GGTGTGGCCCTCCAGCCAATTTGCAACCCATCTGACTATGCAGGTATTGATGCCCAAAGAACCTTGTCTGCCAATTGACTTCAAAGGGTTTTATGGTCAGCCCCAAGAGCAAGCTTGTCTAGACTATGGTAAGAAGTGTCCTTTGTTTAATGAACCCTGCTTCCAACCAAATAGTAAGTGTTAAAGTGTTACTTGCCTTCCCTTAATTAGTATTTTAGAAAGTTTTTAAATACGTTGCATATGTTAGCAAACAAGTTTTTAAAATACTCATATTAACCTAATTTAGACTAACACATAGAGGAGATCTGAGATAGATGTGGATGGAAAATCTAGGGAAAAAAGGAAAGATCATTCTCAACTATGAACCAGACTTTTTCTGTGTATATTTATGTACATGTTATCAGTATGAAATCCTCTCTCCCACAGTGCACTGTTTCAAAAGGGTAAATATTATATACGCATATAATTGGTATTTGTTACGAAATTTTATTTTTATACTCCTGTATTTTTTACTTATCCATTGTTCACCATCTGCTTGTAAACAGACATTTAAAATAGAAGCACTTGATAACTGTAATAATATTGCTGTCATACTTCTATAAGTTGTATCTCTTGTTCTTTACCTTTTCTACCTCTCCTGTCTTTTCTGCTTCTTCCAGTAGTATGTGTAGCCCTATTCGGATATACATGCTAATACTGATTTAAGAAACATTGCCCTTTCTGAAAAACAGAAAGCACTTCCTGGAGATTCCAGCTGTTTAATGAATTTACCTATACTTCCAGATAGAGACAGACCTAGAGAGAGATCTGTGGGAAGATACCAGAGAGAATTTTTAAATTTAGCCATATGTACTTTTACAGAAAAGAGAAGCTTGAAACAGAAATATGATCTCCAGTTTCGCTCTCCTTTCTGTGCTTTGCACTGGTACAACATTTTTATAGCTTCTTAAGGTGAAATAGTAAAAGAGCAGAAATTAGAACAACATGCTTGAGCCTGCCAAGCTTTTCTTGATTTGATGCTCCTTTGGTTTTTGTCATAATTGATTTCTGTATCTTGATCTTTGCCATTGCGTAAGTAACTGACAATTTTGTTATGCTTAAATTATTTTTAAGTTGAGTTCATTCTACTCCCCTGCCTAATTGTTTCATGTTATCCTGCTATAAAGACTAATAAAAAAATGTATTATTACTGCAAAGTTCTTGCTTGGAATCTATATATAGGAAGAATTGCTTTTAAAACCAGTTCTTGGTAAAATGTGGCCTCAGACCCTCCTCCTTGTATAAAGTATAACATTCTGAAAATCTATGAAAACCTTGCATAGATAGAGAAACTTTGCACTCTCTTTTCACTCTAATTTTATTCATAATTGTGTACATGTGTATCAAGACAGAGAGAGAATATTTAACAAAGCAGATTACAAGTATCCATACCAAGAGTTGATTATATCATAAATCATTGGTGACACACAGGGGGTACACATGCACCCCCTGAGATTGTTGGTGGACCCCCTGAAAGAAGCGTGAGATTGGTAGTGCACCCCCTGGGAGAAGCGTCATTGACACTGTGGCAGCATCTGCGGGTGGTTGCTGCTCCCTCCTCCTCCCCCCCCCGCTTCACCACCAACACTGCCGGCGGTGTTTACAGGTAGTTACTGATCTCCAGTTGGCACTCGCCACCCCCCCTCGCTGCTGACACCAGCGTGGCTGCCTACAGGAGCTCCCCGCTCACTACCTGCACACTGCCACTGCTGCTGCCACCTGTGGGCAGTCGCCATGCCCCCC